CTTCACTTCAGAACCGTCTAACATCATGTTCTACTGGAGCGGTCAAACAGAGTCCAAATCTAAAAATAAAAAAATATTAAGAAATTTTCAAAAATAAATACATAAATATAATTTAAAATCTCAAATTTTTATATATTCCTTTTAAAGTTATAGTTCATAATTTAAAGAAAACCACAAATATGTGTATATAAAGATATTAACTTTAAAATTATTTTATTACATAATTAAATATATAATTAACTTTTTTTTAACAAGGCCTAATATAATTCGAGACGGCTCTGCTCACTTTATTACGTATTTTTCTATTTTTTATATTTATTATTATTTAATCATGAGAAAATGGTAGGATAAATTCTCATTAATCTTGTTATAAGGATGAAGAAATTTTAATACATATGAATAAACTTCTTGCAGTGCAAAATTTTCTTCTTTTTTAGAAAAATCTTTATTTTATAAACAAAGATATTATGTTGGAAGGAGTTGATGCCTTGGACTTTTGTTATCTTGATTTATTTCTAACGAGGACCAATGAACTTATCCGGTAGATTTTCACAAATCTCGTAGAATAATGGTCGACGATGACTTAGATTTTTAGGTCTTCCGTTCAATAAATACAAAAATGTATGGTTATGAAGTAGATCCGATATACATCCTTAGTTCATGATTCTCATTTATTAGTGAAAAGCCGGCTACATGATCTGAAAACAAAAGATATTTCTCTGTGAAAGATATATAAAGGTTTGCGAAGAGATAAAGAAAGCTACGAAAACGAGTTGGTTGAGAGCCTTTCAAAGAGATCTCCCTTTCAAATGTAATTTTAAACAGTACTATCTTACTTGGAGACGATTAAAAACATTTAAAATACGTCTTCTACTACGGAAATTGTCTGAGAATGAATGGTAATAAACATTTCCATATGGCTCATTTAAAAGTGAAGACAAAACAAAACTACTAACTAATTGTTCGTCCAGTACTGCGTATACAACCATCATGAAAGAAATAAAACTGGGAGACAAAGTGGGACTTATGTATAATCGTACATTGAGTGAAATAAAATGAAAAAAAAACATCAGATTTTTAGAAATATGAATTGCTTCTTTCATTGTTCCCTTAACCAACCAATCCGTTTAACATCTCTTTTATTTGAGTTTTATTTATAATTGTAGCTTTTGCCCAGTTTATTATATTACAGATGTCCTAAGTTTTACTGTTTTTTACTCAAAATAAATTGGTAATTTTTTTATATCATTGGAATAAAATATGTCATGATCATCTTTTTGTGGTGAAGAAGTTTCTCATCAGCTTTATTTTAAAGATCAAATCATATCCTGACTAAAAAAAATCAAATGGTGGAAAATGAAATGAAATAAAACGATAGAGAAAATCGGGACCAAAATTAATTGTAGCAAAGACAAAGTGTGTTTTGTGGTGGTGATGGCACGGTCCCAGTGGGAATATGATTCCTCTCTTGTAGACAAACCTTAGACAAAAACAACTATGGTAATTAATTTTATCTTCATTTGTCAATAAGACCAAATACAAATCTGGTTTCTTCCTTGTCCCGCATTATCTGTTCATGAGTTTGACTAAAGATAAACAAAACCCTATTTTGGAGACAATAAACGCCATTTTCAACTTTTTGTTGCATGCAGTTGCATACGTACAGCAATAACTGAAAACTTATTCAAAGTTAGATGATCTGATAACACATGCATTTTCTTGTACAAACCTCACAAATTTGGGCAGAAGAAGCCAACTAAATTAATTTTTATTACTCTATATTTGATTTAACTACAAGAGTTCTAGATAAACATGATTGGTCATTGGATTGCTAGGATAAAATTATTAATTTACTCAGCTGGAGACCTATTAGCTTTTTAATATGTGTAGATGGACCGGTTAAAAGAACTATGTTGTTTGGCCAGAAAAGAATGAAAGTTTATACGTCTATTCTGGAAAATTAGACCCCATTTTTTAATTGAAATTCATTTTGCAAGTAGTGGATTAATTTATATATCATATTTGTAATAGAGCTTTTTGTAATATGATATCTCATTTTATTTTTTTTATGTGAGATTCCTAACATAGTTTGATCCAATTTATTTACATATTTGGCAAACTGATTTTAGATAAGATAATTATCAATCTCCATTAAGGAAGAGGGAATAGTTTTTTGTTTTTGTTTTTGTTTTGATCAAATGAAAAAAAGAATAGTTTAAACCTAACAAGGCAGAGATTGCCAAACGATGGTCCAAACGACGACCTTACGAGTCGTCAAACGAGGCATATATAATAACTAACGATACAAAGACAAATTTGAGGCGTAGGTTCTTGAATTCTAGAAGTGACAAACCGCACCATTAGAAATTAAACGTAGACATTTCAGAAACATCATTATGCTTCCAAAGGGACACGTTGTAAGCTAACAGTCACGTTCTTTCATAATTTGACATGCTGATGTTGCAAAACTATTGGAGAAAATTATTGACAACTTATAGAGGACTCTTACGATAAGACGATTAATCAAAGCGATATGACAAAAATAGAATCCTAAGCTGATTGGTTACATAGCCAACCACATTTTTCAGCAGCTTTCTTAAACAGAAAAGTAGACCTGTCTATTTGAGGGAGACTAATACCTGCCTGCTTAATCAACGATTGCCGTTTTCATCGATTTAGTTACTAAAGTTTGCTTCATAAAAAAAACATTAACATCTTTTTAATAACTATTTGCTAATGTGTGTGAGTGATGATTTTATTGGTATAACATGTTGTTAATATAACTTAGCGTTGGGGTTACTAGTTTCCGCTAATCATACCTCTTTCGTATACCACTTTCATCATACCAATCCTGTTTAAAGCAAACCCATCACATCTCTCATCTTTCCGTATATATAATTAATACTAAGCAAAGTGATAATTATATTTGAAGTACAAAAGCACTTGAAACAGTGTTAATAAATCTTCTTTATTTGAGTAAGAAATAGAAAGAATGAATTAAAACAAACGGCGTCGACTATGCAATGATAGAAAAACGATGGACACTCACATGGCGCTTTGCCTTTTGTAGTCACGAAAATACAATCTATTAAGATTTTCCAATTATTAGTATTATCTCATTAATTGTCAGATATAAAATCCAAGATGGATACTCCATGATCGATCTTGATAACCCAACATCTGTCTAATTCGTTGATACAAATTAACGCACTTAAATTTAGTTGTCCTTTGTTTCTTTTCAACTTGCACTATAGTTTTGTTTTTAGTATCATAAACCATCCTTTTAATGATTCACTCACTGAAATCAGTAATGCAACTGAAATAATCATACGCTAACTAACGTTACCGGTGAAAAAACAACAATATATTTTTACATCAATAAAGATCCTTTTACAAAACGGAAGTTGTTCCATCATTCTATGAACATGGAAAATTTTCTACATACCACATGTCATGCTTTGACATCCAATAGGGACCAATACAAAGGATGGAATGCATTTTCTTTTGATTAAATAACAAACCATTATATAATTTTCAATTTTTTCATCATATGAGGAACAATCATCAACTTTAAAATTATTGATATTCCGACTTCGTACGAATGCCTGACTACGAAAAAGATAGTAATATATAAATGTAAAGAAAATAAATGTGTTTTTATTAGATGGGGTCTCTTTCACATACATAATCCATTAGATCGTAAAGGGAGAAATACATAACCTATTAGATCCATGATATTAGTCGGAAAAACAAATATTTCATGATATCGAAAGGAAAAAAGTTAAAGGTAATCATGCTAAATGCTGAGTTTTGGACAGTAAAGGAATGGTTGGCAAAAAGAATAGATAGTAAAAATGATGAAATAATGAAAGAACGTGTTTCAATTTTTTTTTTTCATTTGTAAAGCACCATGCTCTTAAAAATTCCATTTGTATATTATAACTAATTAAAAATTGGGGTTTTACTTTCGAATCTCAACAATTATTGGTCGTCCACACATTGTAACGGTGTAGAAATTGCCAATTTTTAACTCTTAAAATTTTGGAGGTTTACAGCCAATGTTTTATTTAATTATGCTTAAAACCGAATTTGAAAATATTACAATCATCAGTTCAAAAAATATATATATATTACACAATCAAAAACTAGGTTATACGTTGTAACAAGAAAACCATAATAGCTACTACATCAGTGCATTTATTCGGATATGTCTATCTTAATATTTGGGAATGAGAACGAAGATACTGCCGCCTTGTGAAATTGTCTAGTATTAGCCAATTTTTGAGGATTTTAGATTTGCTTTAGTCACAATTATTTTGAAGTCACTGGTAAAATACACTTCAAGAAAAACATGTCTAAACTAACACCTTGATCTTATTAGGTCTCGTTAAGCTTTGCCCTTACACAGCTTTTCATCTCTCTTATTCGCCTTCAAAATCCAACTAATCTCACATACCTCAAAAGTACCACACCACCGCTTGTTGTCACACAAAAATGATGCATCACACCGCTTCACTTCCCTCTTGGCTTTTAGAAGAAGGATTTATAAAGTTTTATGGTTTTTAGATGTAAAATTTTGTTGTACAAAATTCATTAAAATAGGGTAAAATCCTATACATTTTATAACTCACTATTGGATTTTTTTTTTTTGTTCTACACTCACTATTGGATTACAATCTGAGTTTATAGCAACCATTCAACTTAGAAAAAAAAATCATTATATCATCATAAGCTATTATTACTTTAGCTTTTTCTTTGATCTGTAAATTTTCAAATAAATTATTTTACATTCCATACTTTTGTGCTTTCTGCTGAAATTGATTATACGAAAGTTCTCAGGTGGTGTGACAAAGCAAAGCTAATGATTTCTCAAAGTAATCAGCTAACCTTAAAAAATTACATCTGACAAAATAAAATAAATTATTTTATTACAAAACCACTCATTTATAAATTTGTGTGTAACAGATTCTTGTTTGCTGTACACTCTCACCTAACAGTCTTTCACCTTCGTTTTCCGACAAGAACTTCTTAATTTTCCAGAGAAAGGATTTTTTTTTCTTTTTGTTCAAATCGAAGTTTCGTTCCTGTGATCAACGACACTATCATTCAACCGTTGTCGGAGCTCCACCGTTCTCTTTTATCTTTTCAGTTTCCGGCGATCTTTACTAGTCTCCAGTCGTGACTCCACCGGTTACTAGAATTTCAGACAAAAAAAAGAGGAAGTGATTCTGTTTTGACATACACCAATTCCCGGTTTCGTCAAATCATCAGTCTAATTTATTCCGGCGAACTGGAATCGACTTCACCGGCGACTTTCTTATCTTACCGGAAATGAAGTTTATGGAATTAGGGTTTCGGCCTGACACATTCTACACTGTGGAAGCAGTAAGGTAAACACAAGAACTCAATACTCTCTCAATTTTTCAAATTTTTTTTTTGTAAAAATTAAACTGTTCCGACCAATCTCAGCTCTTTTTAACTGTTCTGTCTGAAAATTTTCCAGGTCTGTATCTTCTGATTTACAAAATGATCTTATAATCCAAGTCAAATCCACTAAATACCTTCTTCACAAGGTAACAAAGATTCCACTTTTTCATACTAAACATTTTCAAGATTTTTTTTTTTTTTTTGTAAAAAGGGTTAATATTTTCAAGATTTGATTTCTGAATTTTTTTTTGTTTTTTGGCGCAATTTATATTTGCAGTTTCCAATGTTATCAAAATGCTTGCGTTTAAAGAACTTAGTCTCATCACAATCACAAGAACCCGAAACCTCACAAGACCAGAAAGTGATCCAACTCCTTGACTTCCCAGGCGAAACAGAGGCTTTTGAGCTCTGTGCTAAGTTCTGTTACGGCATCACTATCACTCTCAGCGCTCACAACGTAGTCTCCGTACGCTGTGCAGCTGAGTATCTCGGCATGACCGAAGAAGTCGAGCCTGGAGAGACAGAGAATCTCGTCCAAAGACTCGAGCATTTCTTGACTTCTTGCGTCTTCAAGAGCTGGAGAGACTCTTTCATCGCTCTTCAGACCACGAAGGCTTTACCTTCGTGGTCTGAAGATCTTGGCATCACTAGCCGTTGCATCGAGGCGATTGCAAACGGTGTGAATGCCTCTCCTAATGATGATTTTTCTAACCAAATGGAGACGGGTTTGTCGAGAAACCGGTCGAGGAGAAGAAGGGATGAGAGTTTGTGTAATGGTAAGGCAGAGAACTCACGTTGGTGGGGTGAAGATTTAGCTGATTTGGATTTAGATCTTTACAAGAGAACAATGATGGCGATAACAAACAAGAACGTGTCTCCGAGATTAATCGGTAATGCTCTTAGAATCTATGCATCTAAATGGTTACCAAACATTGAAGAATGTTCACCGGTTTTGGAATCGGTTATCTCCCTTCTACCAACGGAAAGATCAGCTGTTCCTTGTAGCTTCTTGCTTCAGCTACTTAAAACGGTTAACGTTATGAACGTTTCGCCTACTTCGAAGATGGAACTCGCGGTAAAAGCCGGGAACCAACTTGATAAGGCAACGGTAAGCGAGCTGTTGATACCTTTGTCGGATAAGTCAGGTATGTTATACGATGTGGATGTTGTGACGATGATGGTGAAGCAGTTTCTGTCTCAGATTAGACCAATAAGAGCACAACACAGAAGGTCTCGTTCAGAAGAAGAGATACAAGAGATCAGAGAATCTCTGTCTTCTTCTTCTTCTCCTCCACTGTTGGTTAAAGTAGCGAAGCTTGTTGATTCTTATCTTCAAGAGGTTGCTAGAGATGTGAACTTAACCGTGTCGAATTTCGTTGAGTTGGCTGAATCTATACCGGATGTTTCAAGGATTAGTCACGATGATTTGTACAAAGCGATTGATATCTATCTTCAGGTATTGTTATATCAACTTTTAACATACACTGATGATTGTTATATCTCACATACTCTCTATTTTTAGGTTCATCAGAAGATTGATAAGACTGAGAGAAAGAGGTTATGCAGAATCTTGGACTGCAAGAAACTATCAGTAGAAGCAAGCAAGAGCGCTGCACAGAACCAGCTGCTTCCATTGAGAGTAATTGTGCAAATCCTCTTTGTTGAGCAAGCACGAGCCGCGATAGCTACAACTACAAACAATATCACCAAGAATGAAACAACAGTTTTGAGAAGAAGTTTTACAACAAGAAGAGAAGAAGAAGAAGAAGATGATGGTGTAGAAAGAGTTGAAATTAAACCTAATGGAGGATTTCATAGCACTCCTTCAAGGTTTATGGCTTTATGTACAATGCCGAGGCAACCTAAGAAGATGTTTTGTAAGTTGTTGTCGATCAGTAGGAGTTTAAGCCAACGGATTTAAAAAGATGGTGGGAGATTTTTTTTGTTCGACTGGTTTCTTGTGCCTGAAGTCAAGTGTTTTTCATTGTCTATTTGAAGCTTTTTGATTTCTGGAAAATTCATTTCTCATACCAAATTGTATGACCGAATAATAAAGAAATGTGTACATCTTTTTATTAATTAAAAGAGAGAAATATTTGAAAGAAACATATTTTCATGTCACAAACTTGCACAAGACGGTAAACAAGGTCATGATGTGTTCACAAGAAGTCCATCCAAAAGCTATAAAGAAGACAAAAACTCGAGCAGAACTCAGATTTGGTGATAAATACGTGATTCTCCATGCTTCTTATCTTTACCATCATCAGGTTCTCCAAATCAAATGGTCTAAATCACACCAGAAATAAGATTAATTAGTAACCATGGAGGTTCCTCATGAGACCCACCAAGTTTCATCTCCATATCGCTCAGCCTTAACACTGATCCTCTGTTTTTGTTTTCGGTTCAAATCTATTTCTTAAATATTAGTTATTATGTCTCATAGAAACATCAAGAGTAAGAATTTATATTCTTACACACAATCTTTAGAGATTTAAGGATCAATCCATTAATCTTTACTAATCTCAATATTTTTGACTGGTCTCGCCATTAATCTTGCATATCATCACTATGAGGTCCAAAACAGATTAGTTAGATTTAAGACTCTAATACCATGTTAAGTTTCCTAAAATTCTAACTCAAAACTAATTGAAAATTAGTTGATTGATCGAATACTCTTATATAGAACTTATGTTCCATCAAAACTGTAGGAATTTATATTCGTACTCATGATTTTGGCGATTAAGGCTCATAATTCATTAATCTCTACTAATCTAGATAGTTTCTCGCCATAATACTGTCCATCTCTTCTTCATAAACAACTGATTAAGCTCCTTGGTTAGCCACTTCTTTAGACGGGATCTCGAGGTCCAGGCTCAGTTTCTCCAGCATTTTAGCCTTGTATTTGTTGTTGCTTTGATCAAGCTCCCTCAAGTTATTTAGACCAGTGATTAAGTCAGAAACACCTATCAAGTTGTTGAAATTGCTGCTTAGGTTTCAGAACTTCGAATTTCGTTAATCTCCCCATGGAATTTGGATTCCCATTGATCGGGTTCATATGTTCGTTAAGGTACTTTAGAGAATGCATTTATATTATTGAAGCTGGAAAGTAACGGTGTTTCTTCAACTGGATCGCTAATCCCTCCAGATTCTGTGTCCATATCCGATGTTTGTAGGTAATGAAGTCAAATTGTTGAAACTTGCGTCTAACTCAACCAGTGACCTAAGTGTACATTCTCAAACAAAATCTTTGAAACGACAGGACAAGAATAGAAACAATATTCAAACATTTACAATAAAAGACAAGAACCAAACCTTTAATGCACTGCTAGGGAGTGCGGTTAGATTGTTGGCAGTCACATTAAAAATCCCAAGGGTCAACATTCATATAGACTCCGGAAGATTCAAGAAAAGTTTGAGATACATCAAGCACACTTCTCTAGATTCTTCCTTTTCAAGATTGCATCAAGTATCAACAACTGTAACTTTTATAAAACAGCTTCAGAACACAACAAATGAAATGTTAAATTGCACATATTACGCAAGTTCTTGGTGGAGTAATCAAACCATGTCAGCTGATTTCAAATTTTGGGAATTTATCAAGATTGTGATCTATGTTTTTGTGTGTTTTTATTCAAACTAATCGAATATTATAGACAGGTTTAAATTAGATAACTAAAAAGAAATTAGATAAAAAAAGGTCTAATGCTGATAGAAAGATCTAATGTTGAACAAGTCAGACATGTTGAGTTTGATGCTGCCATGTCTCCGATCAAAGTTAAAGTCAGTTGAAAGTGTCGAAGTGGGCCAGAGAACTTAATATAATTCGATGATGATAAAGTCAAACATCCATCTTTATAGAATAATCTGGTCCACTTTATGTTTGATTCCATTGGATGTTGGCTTATGTAACTGAGTGGTTAAGTTAAACCGGTTAGTTTACAGTCCATCCAAGCAAATGCTTATGGTTTCTATAGCCATTCTCCTTTTGTCTTTATAGTTTCTTTTATAGCAAAACCGCCTAAAATTCGAGAATCTCTTTAAAAGTATGTTTAGCGATCCATCCATCACTGCATTCATCATTCCACTATATTCTGTAGTATACGGTGCCTAATTTTCTGTTAAAACAGCCTAATTAATTTCTGATGCAGCGCATCTTCGTCGTTCTTCGTCATCACTTGGGTTCGTAACTCACGTACTCTGTTCTTGGCGGGAACTTTAGCTTCAGTTATTTTATTTCATTAGTTTGGGCTTTTCGTTGAGTAGGTAGGATTTTATATTCTAGTTAGGATTTGGTATTACGTAAGTTTAGGAACAAGCATATTGAGAAGAAATGCTCATTTTAAAGAGTAGCTCCGATGTAAAGCAAGGGACACTTAATAAGAATTACATTCAGAGCTTTCTAGTTCCTCTTTCTCTTGCTTATCGGTTATTCCTGCGAATCAACGATAATCAAGCTTCAATTCGACTTTCGGGTATTCTTTGACTAAACGAATCTCGTTTTGTTAACCTTGTGCTGCGCCAGTTTTGGTATCAGAGCCAGGTTCGTTTCCGACCTAAAATTTTTTTTTAACAACTTTTCAGAATTAATGGCTCCACGACGCGCAAACAACAACGATCTCCCGGTGAACGATTGGGAGGAATTGAGGCGAACACTCGCCACAATGCAGGAAAACATTCAGCAAACAATTCACGATTCGTTGAGAGAGTTGGCTGAATCGGTGTATCTGCGGCATGATCAAGAGCGACATGAACCAGGGCGCTACGCTCGTGATCGGGATCGAAACCAACCTGTTTTCGATGATGGGTCAACCGACGTGGAGGACAACCCCTTCGCCGAAGAAGATCACCATCGGCAAAACAGAGGTTTCAATAACCCTCGAAATCAGGAGGACCGGCGATGGGAGATGGGTTTCAAAGTAGAGCTTCCAGAGTTTCACGGTGGTGTCCGTGGGGAGGAACTTCTGGATTGGTTGGTGGCGGTTCAAGAGATGTTGGAATTTAAAAGAGTTCCAGAAGAACGTAAAGTGGCTCTCGTTGCAACAAAATTTCGTGGCAAAGCGGCATCCTGGTGGCTGCAGTTGAAGGCGTCTCGGGCTAGAGCCGGGAAGAGCAACGTCAACACATGGGCTAAACTTGAGAAGTTGCTGCGAAAGTCGTTTCTGCCTTATAACTTTGAGCGGACGATGTTCACAAGGCTACAAAATTTGCGTCAAGGTTCTCGATCGGTGGATGACTATGCGGAGGAGTTCACATTGCTCCTGACACGTAATGAGATCCTGGATAATGAGGTGCAGTTGGTGTCGCGATTCATAGGCGGCTTGCGACCACAACTTCAGACGGCTATGTCACAATTTGATCCTCTAACGGTGGCAGAGGCTCATCGCAGAGCTGTTGCTTTTGAACTCCAATTTAAGCCATCTACACAGACTTGGAGTTCCAATGGACGCCCGCGTCACATGACAGCAGCGACGGACGGAGGCCAAAACATACCCACGTTGAAGGAGACAAATGACACAGTAGCGCCTCGTAGTACAGCTCCAGCGAAACAAAACAATCAACAAGATGAGTTGAGGCGTTCAAGTAGACCGAATGCATCGAGATGTTTTGCTTGTGGGGAGCAGGGGCATAGACAGACGGCATGTCCAAATGGCACAAGGCGTGGACTTCTAACGGATGCTGTCAAATGGGATGATGAAAATCCAGATCAACACGAGGATGCAGAGGAGACTGAATTGGAGGAGGTTGCAGGTGATCAAGGAACATTGTTAATGCTGCGTCGCGTGTGTCTTGCTCCTATGCGTCAGGATGATCATCCTTGGCTTAGGACAAATATTTTTACGTCGACTTGTACTATCAAAGGGAAGGTGTGCCGGTTTGTGATTGACTCCGGTAGTTGCAGAAACGTCATTTCAGAAGAGGCAGTGTCCAAGTTAGGACTTCGACGTTCTGAACACCCTGCTCCATATAAACTTGTGTGGCTCAAGCAGGGCTCTGAGATCCGTGTGGTTCATCGCGTCCTCGTTTCTCTCTCCATCGGGGCGCATTATAAAGACAAGATATACTGCGATGTTGTACCTATGGATGTTAGCCATCTGCTCCTTGGCAGACCATGGCAATACGATCGTGACGTTTCGCACAACGGCAAGACCAACGTTTATAGCTTCTTTTTCGAGAACCGGAAAATTGTGCTTATGCCGAGTCAAGACTTACAGCCGTTGCCGCCTCCTATCAACACAGGTGGTCAACTTCATCTGGAAGGCACGGGATCAAGCAACACAGTTTTGTTCTGCTCCTTCGCCTCATTTGCTCAAGAGCTGCAGGAATCACAGTTTGCTCTTGCGATCATGGAGGTTCCTTCCAAACCAACAGTGCAAGCGCAAGTTGCTCCACATATCACGCAACTACTGGAAGAGTTTCGCGATGTCTTCCCATCAGACTTACCATTGGGATTACCTCCTTTGCGCGATATTCAGCATCAGATCGACCTGGTTCCTGGAGCTTCTCTACCGAACCGCCCTCACTATCGGATGAGTCCTCAAGAACATGAGGAACTACGCAAACAGGTTGAGTCGTTGCTCGCTAAAGGTCATATTAGGGAAAGCCTTAGCCCCTGTGCCGTCCCAGCCTTACTGATTCCTAAGAAGGATGGTTCGTGGAGGATGTGCGTTGACAGCAGAGCGATAAATAAGATTACAGTGCGGTACAGATTTCCAATTCCAAGGTTAGATGATTTATTGGATCAGATTGGTTCTGCGGTTGTCTTCTCCAAGCTTGATCTCAAGAGCGGTTACCACCAGATTCGTATAAGACCTGGCGATGAGTGGAAGACAGCATTCAAGACGAGAGAAGGGTTGTTTGAGTGGCTAGTAATGCCATTCGAACTTTCCAACGCACCAAGCACCTTCATGCGTATCATGAACCAGGCGCTCAGACCATTTATCGGCAAGTTTGTCGTTGTCTATTTCGACGACATTCTGATTTTTAGCTCGTCGATGGACGCTCACCTGTCCCATTTGCGTCAAGTGCTTGACGTATTGCGGAGGGAACAACTATTTGTGGCACCACAGAAGTGTGAATGGGGCGTAGATACAGTCTTGTTCTTGGGTTATGTCGTGTCACGCAACGGTTTATCGATGGATGTGGGAAAGGTGGAGGCTATAAGAGCTTGGCCAGTTCCAAAGACTACGTCGGAGATACGCAGCTTCCACGGTTTAGCGTCCTTTTACAGGCGCTTTGTTTCTCATTTTAGCTCCATCATGGCGCCACTCACCGAATGCATGAAAGGAACAACTTTTACTTGGAGCATAGAAGCGGCTGAAGCATTCGAGTTAATCAAACAGAAGCTCACCACGGCTCCGGTGTTGATCCTGCCAGACTTTGATGTGACTTTTGAGCTTCATTGTGACGCGTCAAAGCTCGGGATAGGCGCTGTCCTTAGTCAACATTCTCGTCCAGTGGCATTCTTCAGCGAGAAGCTTTCAGGTGCACGGAGCAGATACAGCACTTATGACGTCGAGTTTTACGCGGTGGTTCAATCTATTCGCCATTGGCGTCACTATCTGGTGCACCGCGACTTCGTTTTGTTCACAGACCATGATGCATTGAAGCATCTTGACAGCCAGGTCAAGGTGTCCTCGCGCCACGCCAACTGGATTGCCTACCTGCAGCAATTTACCTTCACTATCAAACACAAGTCAGGAAAGCTGAACCGGGTTGCCGATGCCTTGAGCAGGCGCCATAGTCTCCTCACAACGCTCCATACGACAGTGACTGGTTTCGCCTCCTTTGCTGAATTGTATACCTCCGATCCTTTCTTCAGCACAGTGTTGACAGAGGTAAAAGCAGGTCTACGTGATGATTTCTCCCTAACGGATGGGTTTTTGTTTCGCGGCTCGCAACTTTGCATCCCCGATTGTAGCCTCAGAATCAGGGTGATCGATGAGCTGCACAAAGAAGGCCATGTGGGGAGGGACAGAACACTCCAACTCGTTTCTTCATCTTACTATTGGCCAAGCTTGCGTCGTGATGTCGAACGTTACGTGGAGAGATGTCGCGCTTGTCAGCTTGCAAAGGGTCACGCATCCAACGCCGGGCTTTACCTTCCCCTTCCAATTCCCACTCAGCCTTGGACCGATGTGAGTATGGACTTCGTATTGGGATTACCACGAACGCAGAAGGGTAATGATTCTATCTTTGTTGTGGTGGATCGTTTCTCCAAAATGGTTCACTTCGTCCCGTGTAAAAGAACCACGGATGCTGTACGTGTGGCTCAGCTATTCTTTTCTGAGATATATCGCCTCCATGGGTTGCCGACTTCGATTGTGTCTGACAGAGATACAAGGTTCCTCAGCCATTTTTGGCGATCTCTGTGGAAGATGCTCCATACTAGCTTGGACATGAGCACGGCTTACCACCCTCAGTCAGATGGCCAGACGGAGGTGGTTAACAGGTCCTTGGGAAACATGCTCCGTGCTCTGGTTGGTGAGAATATTCGTGCGTGGGAGACTCGTCTTTGTCAAGCAGAGTTCGCGCACAACCACGCCGTTAATAGGAGCTCCGGTTACAGCCCCTTTCATGTCGTTTATGGGGTGATTCCGCGTTGCCCTTTGGACCTTGCACCTTTACCTGATCCTAAACGTATGCATGGTAAAGCGATCGACTTTGTATCTTCTCTGCAACAAGTCCATCAGTCTGTGGCTCAGGCTTTGGCCAGTTCGGCTGCCAAGTACAAGGAGCGTGCTGACGTGAAGCGCATGGAAGTTCTATTTGCGCCTGGGGATTTAGTCTGGGTTGTGCTGACTAGAGACAGGATGCCAGCACACGAGTACAACAAGCTTCGCTCACGGAAAATTGGACCTGTTAAGGTGTTGGAGCGCATCAATGACAACGCCTATCGCATACAGCTTCCGGACCACATCAAAACCGCCAATGTCTTCAATGTCAAGTACATGTCTCCGTTTAAAGGTGATAACAATGACCAAGATTCGGGGTCGAATCTTCTTCTACCTGGGGAGACCTGATGCAGCGCATCTTCGTCGTTCTTCGTCATCACTTGGGTTCGTAACTCACGTACTCTGTTCTTGGCGGGAACTTTAGCTTCAGTTATTTTATTTCATTAGTTTGGGCTTTTCGTTGAGTAGGTAGGATTTTATATTCTAGTTAGGATTTGGTATTACGTAAGTTTAGGAACAAGCATATTGAGAAGAAATGCTCATTTTAAAGAGTAGCTCCGATGTAAAGCAAGGGACACTTAATAAGAATTACATTCAGAGCTTTCTAGTTCCTCTTTCTCTTGCTTATCGGTTATTCCTGCGAATCAACGATAATCAAGCTTCAATTCGACTTTCGGGTATTCTTTGACTAAACGAATCTCGTTTTGTTAACCTTGTGCTGCGCCAATTTCCACCTTGTGGTAGCTTCTAAACCATGCCTAATAGTACGTCCACCTCACGTAACTTAAATAGAGTCATTGGCTTAAAAAAATATCTACAAGTTCACGTCCTCATTTAGGTCATCATTATTCACCCCTCAATTTATACTGTACTTGGTGTCTTCTCCTCTCCCACTCAACCTTAGATCCAATGAACATCATTTTCCGAAACTAATAATAAGTATTATACTTCCTTCTCCGCACCAGCTGTGTTTCGGGACCCATTTTGATTTAAAATCGAATCTTATCATATCATTCATTATCACCTCTCTTCTTCTTCTTTTAATTCCCAAACATTATTTTGTCTTCTCTCAAGCTTATCCCCATTTTCCGAATTTCAACTACCCCATAATAAAATAATCAGAGAAAAATACAAACGTCAGAATACATACCTCTTAGTTATAATAATGAAAATTAAAAAATTTGAACACATACCATAAACGAGTATACTGGTTACACATTAGGCTTGAATTTTTCCTAGAAGATTACCTGCACATGACAAAGGGTGATTAAAGATGTTAGTTCAACAGAAATTATAATATACCAACAAATCATTAAAAATAAACCACAGAAAAAAGCAAGTGGGAAAGTCGAGAAATAAAAAATATTAAATAAAAAAAAAAGAATTTGAGAAAAATAAAATAAAATAATCAAAATTAATCACAAAGTAAATCAGAAAATGAAAAACCTTAAGAAAAAGTGGTCGTCAAAAGAAAAAAGAAATTCACGGAAACAGACAACAAATGTAATGACATCCGCTAAACGGTGACGGTGCAACGAAACAGAACAATGCAACTAAAGAGTTGATAAGGCAGGGAAGACATATGTCGGAACGACCACGACTTACGAGACTCAAAAGACTCTACCAAAAACCGGTTAACATTAACCGGAAGCAATTGCCAAAAAAAGAACGAATTAAACGAACTCACCCAAGTCACCAAGTACCAACACAAAAGAAAAGCTTTTAGGCTGATTTCATTAATGGCGACGGTCATCGTCACAGAGAGAGATCACGTACACCTTCTTTGTATCTCTCTTTCTTTTACACTTATAAAACCAAGATTTTACTTTTTTAAGTATATTCCGAATTTTTCATATTCTTTTTCTTTTATTTCTTTATTCATCTGATTGTAGCTTGGGGTTATTGCCAGTGATTCCCGTTGTGGACGAGGTACATATTTCTCGAACTACGTTGGTGTACGTAACAACCGTAGCACTGATTCTTTACCATCGTTAACCGCGGCGGCGACGGAGGTAGCGGTGGTTTTGAAACCGACGGTGATCTAGGACTCGATGAAGTAGAGGAAGATGATGACGTGTTTGACGACGGTAACGCTAACGGAGGAGGCGAGAGCGTTGACTTAACGGACGACCTCGGCGGGTTAAGGAAGACTCTGATCTTCATTGAGGATGAAACGAGGTCGTATTCTTCGATTAGATTCGCTAGATCTTCGTCGCACGTGATGGACACGAGCGCGTCGAGATCTTCTGTCGGAAGCTGACACCGTATAGTAACGGTTGATCCGCACATCTCCGCCATCTTTGACGCTAGCTCTGTTACACGCATGACACGCGCTTCCTTAGTTTCTCTCTCCATAAAGGCGTTTAAAAAAATCAAATAAGAGCGGGAACTAACCGGAAAATGAGACGGAACGGGGAACGGCGAGGACGCGGGTGTGACCGCCGTTATAACGGAGTTTACCGTCGGGGTAACGAGGTAGAATCTTCCCGCCATAGCTACATAGAAATTTGATTGTGGAGTTTGTCACCATAATTACTTGAGAGATATGTAGGAGAAGAAGAAGAGTAGAAGATTCTTCTAGTAGATTTGTCTGTGCAAGCCAAGATGTGAGTAACGTCTAGACTGTATTTATAGCGGATTTATGAACTGGGAGAAACAATGGTGAGAAATAGATAGCTAAGGGTATGATCGTAATTTGGTGGACCCATTAGTTACGTAAGCCATAGTGTTCTCTTTTTTATTTTCTTTCATTAAAGAAAAAGGAAGGAAACCCCGAATAAGATAAGATGATTTTGTAAGTGTTTATATATAAAAATAAAGATAGCAATACGGAGACAAAACAAATTTAAGATTTACGATAAGGTTTTTATTTTTTGTATCGAGTCATATATCATATGAACAGTATACATTATCATTCTCACCCATATTATATTTCGGTGGGAAATAAAAATTTAGTGTTAGCTTAAATTTTACATAAAAGTTTGTTTACTTTTGGCCTACAAAAAATCAAGGTTTATGGATATCATGTTATGGATCAAAACCAAATGTTTTGTTATTAAATTAGTGGTGAATATTTGTAATTATATATTTTAGTTGTGTACTTTTATTTATTAAGTCAATACTCAACTATATAATAGAATAATAAAATGATACTTATAAAATTTTAGATTTTTTTTGTCTGGTTAATTATGTTATTAGAAATGATGAGAAACATTACATAGACGATATTACAGTCGACAACTCTACTTGTCTTATCTAGATTCACGTCTGACTGTATTATTCTGAGCTATTTTTTATAATTCATTTATGACGGTATTACTTTCGTCATACTCAAGATCTCGTGTAAGACTTCTCTTCAATTTTCTGCATAATTCACTTTTTCAGGAATTGAAATCTAGAAGTTACATAGTATAGTCTGGAGTTCGAAACTCAAACTTAATTTAAAAGACTGTAAACCTTTGATCAATAAGTCAATGGTACTTCCACAATTTTAGGATAATTTAAGAGTCAAATATAAAGAAGCAATTATTTTGGAATATTATCAACATTTATCATTTTCAGATATATAAGGTTAATTTCAGAAATTAGAGTTTACTTTTTTCTGAAGTTAGGGTTTAGAATTTTGAGAGATAATATTTTGGTTTTTTGGGATGTTTGTGAGTTCGGTTTTGACTAGTTTAATTTCAGTAAAATTATATTTGATCTGTTATATAAGTTGAAATCTGAATTTGTAGATGTACAAAAATACGATGGAAGAATATATGGTTTAAATTAGTGGAAAATAAATAATATGTTATGGTGAAACTTATGACCAATCAAAGTATTTTAACTTGCCATTATAAGAAAACAGAAATTACCCATTGACAAATTGATGTTGACGTATGTTTAAAACAATTAATAATGAATGACCAAAAAAACATGTTCAAAGGATCAAAGGTGACCAATAATTTGATTCGGTTTTAATTTGGTTGATCAGTTTGGTTTTGGCAAAACTTACCTGAACTTCAACCAAATCCTCTCATTTGAATTAGTCTACTGATGCGATGAAACGCCACTTCTAGCGTCAACTAGTGGACATTGTTTGTTGTGAACAAATTTGACAAAGATAGAAAGAGAGCTGTTGGGACCCATATCACGTGGGCCACACATGGAAATGGTCCATAGGGCTTGCATGGCCGTAATGCAAAACCCCATCCAGGACATTTGAGAAATTCTGTTAGCCGATAATTTGTAAATAGTGTCACACACCAATAGATAAATAACCATTTTTGTAACGTATTAGAACATAACTAAAGTTTATAACTTACTAATACGCAGCGCTTATAGTCATCTAATATCTTTATTCTTTAATATATCGTAATGAAACAGTGTTTACAATGTATTGATGATAATTAATGCTGTACGCTGAACGTACAACATATATAAAATAATATGGGTGGGGCTAACAAAAGAAATGAGATAAACATAAAGTTGAAGAGCAAATTCAAGGTGACAACAACATTATCCAATGATGGCATGTAAACACACGCATCAAAAAAATATGGAAAAATGAAAAAGAAATCGAATATTCTTTTGGAAATATGCCTTTTTCTACAATATCTATATGAAATAAAATTGGAAATGAGAATGATTATCTTGTTTAGCTTGTGTATACGTGTGTATCAGTATCCCCAATCTCCATGACCATTTAATATGAATGGTCCTACTGTTTGCCACGAAATTATAAAAATGCCAATATATTTAGTATGCAGTAGCATCTAAAGGTATGCAACGAGGTTAAATATAATTAGGGTGTTAAGAAGTAATTTGACCTTGTCCCTTCAAATCATAAGCGTAAGGAATGCAATTGTATGGTTGGGTTTATCCATTTTAAGGCCCAGTGAGTGCACATGAAGTCATGAACAAATTTAAGTTGAGAGAGAGCACATCTTCGTTGTCGCAGCAAGATGGTTCTCTTTGCCTATTGCTCTCTTCATGGCCTGTCCTTCCATCCTTCTCCCATATTATCTTTTTGTACTCGTGTTTTTTTGTGCCCCTTCAGTTCTTTTAATTCTTCTTTGTTAAGCCTTATTATAGAAAGACTTCCTCATGTTTTTGTCTATGAGAAGGTTTTCCTCCTATATATTTATCTCATCGTTCATTATTTGGCAGGCGATTGGCATCTCAATCTTATAGCATGCTGGATCATTTCAATGTATGCATTCATGATGATGTATTAGTTTTTTTTTTTTTGAGAAATGATGTAGTATTAGTTTTGTGGCATGAAGAGTCCCTCCTTTATGAAAGTCTTTGTGTGGTTATCAAAAGATTTGTGTTCCCATGTAAGTGGTTAAATCATAAATGGTGTGGCAAGAATTCATGTCGTACCAACGTCGAGTTGGTCTAGTGGTAAAGGGGTTATAGCTGTAACTTCCGTTACATGGGTTCAACTCACGGTGGGAGAGACTATTTACAATATTTGAGTTCCCGGCAAAGAGGTGAAACCATCTTTTTTTTTACCAAAAAAAAAAAAATTCATGTCGTCGTCCTTTTTGGGTTTGAATCTTCTTTTGAAATGTAATTTTTTATTCATTTAATGGTTTCACTTTATTGTTAAATAACATAATATTATTTAGTTTCGAAAAAATGCAACGATCGTTTTTATCAAACTATTTCTCTTCATGTCAGATAATCCCCCGGTATTCAATTTTAAAGGTACAAGAAAAATGAATTTCTTTTTTCATCGAACTATTATAATGTAGAATCAATTTTTACAAAAAGACAGTGCGACACGTATGGTATGAATGGAAAGATATGGACGAGTTGTTATTTCTGCGGCAGACACGCAAAGAACCATTGCTTCTTGCTTCTCCCATCAGTAGTGGCCCTGGGTAGAAGCATTACAAGCATCTGCTTCCGGCCCTTAAAATAAAATAAAGTTTTCGATCTTTTTTTATAAAAGTTATTATAACTCAGATGGTTAAATAGTAGGTATTTCTTCTATAGATAGCAAGTTCAAATACCACTTACTGGTCTTTTTTTGTGGGAAGCTTCCGATCTTTGTTTTTTTTTAGTTTTTGAGGGCCGGGCCTGCTCCCATTGAAAAGGATAAGCCAATTTCATCATAACATGTTGGACGTATTTATACTTGACTTTCTCATATTTTTTAGTAAAATGTATTCAGTAACATTTTAAAACATAAAACATTAATAGAACCTTGATTGATTCCTTTGGATCAATTAATCAGCTAGTTTGTAATATATTTTTTTCTTCATCAAACTCTTATATCAAATGGACTTAAACGATTACAACCATAAATATATTTGACGATTAAATAAAATGAAAAATACTACAATAAAAGATAGAATTGTTAAGGATGAAGATACTCATAGACATGCTTCACTTGAGACTTTTAAACTAATGTTTCCAAGAATATATATGAACTGATGAGAAGAGACCCTAAAGAGTATGCTTGAAAATCATTTGTGAGCACCATTACTAACGATGAGCCCATTGAAAAACTAGATTTGACTATGAATTCCACTAAACAAACAAGATCAGCTCTAATGATGATGATAATAATTGAGAAAACTAGGTGAATCTTAACTATGCTGGAAAACATATTGGTTGGTGAGAAAGACATTGTCACCTCCAACAAAAATGTAATTCTGCTAATGCGTAATATACTTATACCTCCAGAAAAAATAATTTATGCAAGTCCGTAATATATTATCATTCATTCATAGCTAGTCCGTAATATACATTGCCATCCAACATCTTCTATTGGACGTGCGACATAACGTAACAAGTTATGGATGATAAGAACAGTTTCTGAGGGTCATATAGATCTAATCAAATCATCTACGTATTTGCTTTAGTTGTATCAGGATCATCAATTAAAAGTTTTTATGTTACCGTAATAATTAATGATCTGTGTTTTATTGTTGTATCATTATCGACACACTTGATTTTTTTTCTTGCCGGTAGTTGACAGTTATCTGTTATCCCAAACTAAGTATTGATGAACATTTGTTTTGTTGGTCATAGAACGCGGAACTGGTCTATATGTCATCCTCAGAAAATGTTTTTAAATATTCTTACTGTATACATTTTTATAGAAGAATATGGAAGTCAAGTATAAATGTTCATCATATCAAATCTGCATAATTTTTTAAGCTTCCCAATGAACCATGATCTAGTCATATTGATGGACTATGATCTGTGAATGCGTCACGTGGTCCCGGTAGGGCCGATAAGGTGACTAGGATCATGAGAGAAGCATTGAGCAAGTTGGATGGAGTTTGCAAATACAAGGCAAGTGACGATTTGGCATGCCTCGGCCAACACGTGTATCCACCAAGGCAATCACAATTTTTGGTTTTCTAGTTGGTCCTTCCTTGCTATTTTAGAATGTATTTCTTTTGTACCACGGTTATGTTTGTGTGAATCTGTGAATCAGTTTTTATTAAAAAAAAAAATACAATAATATTCTGGTTGCTCTTAAACGTTTATTAAAACAAAAAAAAAACAAAAAGGTGCAACAAATAATTA